CCCCCCCCACTGGCAATGTCGGCACCGTTGCCGAACACTGATGTATACATTGTTGCGTCTGCAATGCTTTGTGTTGCAGCAAAAGCACTGCATGTCACGTCTGACAAGCAGCACTGCGGAACCATTGTAATGAATGCTGGTGCAATATAGAAAATCTCCATTGGGATTTAAAAAAAAAAAAAAGGCAAAAATCTGCAGTCAGGAAGCAACTGCATCACCTCCTGAATGTCGGGCAACCCCTGCTCCACCATCCTCAGAAAAGAGATCCACTGCGGAACGCTTTTCAGAGGGTGGTGTAAGCTGCCATCCATGTGAACTTAGCCTTGATATGCTAGTTGCCTAATCTCCTGGCTTTCGGAGACCTGAAACAAGTATATGACAAGTGAAGCCAACTGATCTGTGTACTGGTTTCGGGTTACTGAAAGCACTAGATTAACATGGCAGCCAGTGAATCAGATCAGTTTCAGCAGGTGGTCAGCAGTCTACATATATCTTTCTTAATACAGATTTCCTTTAAAGACACACGTATGTGCTCTGGGGTGTAACAAATTGCCAAACAGCTCAATAAAATGTTGCAGGCTCTATAAATCAGAATTCTCAAAAAATGAATTCTGACATGATTTCAAGTGTACAACCTAGACTAGTGATAAACTAGTAGTGTGAATAATAGTGACACGCATAAATAGCGTTAGTTTTTGGTTTACTCTTACTCGAGATCACTTTAGTCCATAGCGTCTCCATTATTGCACTGCATGGAAGCAAACGGCTAAAATGACGCGGGAAGAGTTAATAACCTATCAGAAAAAAAAATAAAACAAATGTTCATATTGGATCTACTAGGGACTCATCCTGGAAGACCGCTCTGCCACTCACACTTACACAGGAGCAAATGAAAAAATATCAGTGCTGGAAACTATTAAGCTATGCCATCTGTTTATATGTAAAAAGTTCAGTGCAATAACCTCCACCATGGCAAATTGACTGGGTCTTCTCCAGTGGCTGCGGGATAGATAGTGGAGTCTCTGCATCCATTTCCTTGTCTACTCCTTGCAGCACAAGCTGTGTTTCAGCTGGTCAGACAATAAGACATCGGGGTGTCATTCAGGGAGAGCTGTCAAAGCAGCTTGAGAGGTGACAAAACCAACACACCCAGCTCCTCTTGTGTAAAGCATTAACTGTAAATGGTTTTGTACAAACAGAGCGTTCCCAGCACCCTGTGGACATTCCTGTGTTATCTGTCTCTCACTTGTCATTCTGCCTGAGGCAGGCCATAGTAGTGTCAGTGGAGGAGAGATGGATGGGAACACATGTGCATCTTCTATTATCAGGCTGGTGGTTGCTGTAATAAGGAAGAGGGGTAAAGGATCCTGGCAATCGACAGAACCGCTGACCGGAAACCTTGACTGGCGATGCTGGCCGAGCAGTCACTCAAAACGTCGCAGGTGGTTGTAGAGAGACTGGACATAGGTGAACACGCACATGGGATCTGGCTTCCTGCCCATCATCAGCATATCTTCAACTTCAATGAGGCGGTCACAATTCGCCATTTTCCTGAAATATGGCAAAGGACAGCCACAGTTAATGATACAAGGAAACTACACAAGTCTTGTGTGATTTTAGGAGATTTTTATTTGTATTCAGTCACATGTTAAAATGCCTTCTTTAAAAATGAGCCTTCTAACCATCTTGCTTTGAATTGTATTATTAGATTGTAAATCACTGTGCAAACTGTGGCCACTATAAAAATCCAGTATAAAATAATTGAAAGTTGATCATTAGACAAATAATAATATATAAATCTATGTTAAAAGTCTTGCGGGGAAGGATAAATAAACACAAAAGTGAAATGGTTACCTAGTCCAGTGTTTCTCAGTTTTTTTTCAGTCACGGCACCCTTTAAAAGTATTCAAAAGCTCAAGGCACCCCAGTCTAAAATGTCATAGATCTTAAGGGGGACCCCACACAATTGAAGTGCCCTCTGCAAATCAAGATTTCACCCCCCACACATCAGAGTCACCCTTTGCATCAGTAGCCCCCCTTCACATCAGAAGCCCCTCTTTACATTCACAGCCCCCCCTTCAACTCAGTCTTCATTTCCTTCTTCACATCAGAGTCCCACTAGAGACCTGTAGAATGTAATATAAAAGCCACATTTACTGTTAGAATTGAGTTCATTCAAAACTAAAATTTCCATCCCGCTCCTTCAAATTTTTCGGTTGAAATCGGTTAGTCGATGAAAGTCGGCAGTTTGACCCCATTATCTATTAGAAAATCAAGCATTCTGAAAAATATTTTTTTTCTTCAAACTTCTACTGGTGTATGGCTAGCTTTAGACAGGAGGATGTACCCTGCAGCACCTCTGGGAAACACTGGCCGAGTCATGTGATCTCTTCTGAAGGGGAGGATCAGCCAATATGAACCGTGGTCCTTACCTGCTGCAGAGATCATGTAACCAGATGCCTAGGCTTTTGGTCATGTGACCCACTAGCACTGCAGGGAGGCTGGACAAGCATTTTCTTCAAGAAACCTGATTTATGCAAGACATGATTGGAGGATTGAAATAAAGAGGTCCATCTTATTTTCTAATCTTGGTGAACAATCTCTTTGCTATGTGAACAGCAGTATGCAGTGCTTACAACAGTTTCTCATCATGTCATCTTCCCACTTCGTATGAAAAAACAGGGGCAGATATCAATATGACAAAATAACACATTTTAAGTAAAAATAATTACATCTTTAATGCAATGGATAAAAAAAAAAAAAAAAGAAAAGCTGCTTCCCTCATGTTCCCTAAAGCTTAGGCAAAGATCACATGGTATCTACCAAAAGCATTATAAGTGTTTAGTAGGGATGCACCGATACCAATGCCAATACTGGGCATTTTCCTGAGTACTTGTACTCAGGAAAATGCCTTGATACAAAGCATCGATATGGGTGCTTTAAATTTTTAAACAAGGGCGGCTGCCTGAGGTCTCGCCCTTGCTGAGGGCAGCCTGCTGGGGACCTCGCATGCACTGGGTGGGGTCCAGAAGTGGGAAGTTCTCAGTTGTTTCAGCGGTATAATCCGTGAGAGTGGGCCAAGCCCAGGGAGGATGGATTACCTGACTGGCATCACCTGGAGGAGCGGACAGTCATGCGAGGCACCGCTGATTGCCTGTGGCTGGGGCTGCAGGAGGTGCACTTACAGGACTGCCTGAAGGAGGGCTATCTGGTGGACTACCTGAAGGAGTCCACCAGATAGCCTGGATGATGAGCTGAACGCATGGCGCCTGCCAGTCAGATAGGCGGCTGGGTGGGTACACATGCGGCAGTAAACACACAGGAATACTTGCTCATTATGTCATACTTACCTTTGAAGTGTGCCCTTCTAAAGCGCTGTGCAATGAATCCTCTATCCCCTGCTCGGTACCCCGCGGGCCACCATCTCCATTACTGCCACTTCCAGGTACTTCTTCGGCCATTAGGTGGCCACAGATGATGCAGGAGTTGCCTCCTACCCTCCATCAGGGCCCAGTCATGGCATGGTAGAGATGCCGTAAATGATCTGAGTGTGTACACTGCACGGTGCATGCGTCATACATAAAAACATGCATCAAAATGAAAAAATCACTGGGGGAAAGAGGACAAAATCCCTACCTTATAGCAATTTTGTAATCGCTTCCTCTTTAAGCAGATATCGTATCAAATAATCTTTCAAGAAATACAGTTCTCATTTAAGTGTGGTGTGATGGTTATACAGTGTCTTGTAGAGACTTGGTAATCAGCGTGCTTTCTATAGTATTATGTAAAAAGCACTCAATTGTAGAAGAGCCCACACTCAAATGTTATCTTACCTTATTAATTCCACACCAGCTGCTATGCTGATGCTATACAGAGAAAATTCCTAATACTCCGTCTCACTAGGTTACATTTACCATAAATGCCTACACAACATCATCCCAAAGACAATGAGCTGATTATTATGGGGTCACAGAGCAGAACTATAATTAGATGTTAATATACAATGGTGCCCACACACAACCACTCTGCATGTTATCATAAAGGAGGTCTTCAACAACAATCTACATTGCAGAGCTGTTATCTGCAGATTTTTCACAATCTATTTGTAGAGGAGATCTTGGGTTGCCTATTGCCTTTGTGGGCAAAACAGGCAATGCCACAGATTTAGAAATGAGCCATTTCGGAACTCCTATAGATTAATAGAGTTAAAGGGCGTCATTATTGCATGGGGAGATTTGTGAGTGATCTTGGTCAATAGCAGAGGAAAAGATAAAACATACTGTGTGTGTCGATCTATTACCAGTGAGTGAAGATTACAGTGGGTCCTTGCACTAATGTGACTCACTCAAGTACATATCGTCTCCACCTATCATTCTCAGGTAGGTATCAGGCGGTCTTTAGCCAAGCTAAACTAGACCATATGCTTTGCAATTTAATTGTACAGTCCCAGCCATGATTGCACAGATTTCGCCCAGACATACACATAATGCCACATCATGAGATGACTGTTGACCAGTCTGGCTGTTTTTGTGTTAGTAATGGTCATATGTATAAAATGTATACGTATAAATGGACCCCTTCCCTGACCGACCACTGCACTATGATATAAAATATACGGACCCCCAATTAACCACTGCACTATGATCTAAAATCTACAGACCCCCAATGGACCCCTGCACTAAGATCTAAAATCTACAGACCCACCCACCGATCAACCAATGCACTATGATCTAAAATCTATGGATCCCCGACTGACCAGTGCATTATAGCACTCAGAAATGTTGTAAACCTCCCTCAATTGCCATGTTGTTGCTGATATGCCAGCAACAAAACTGTTCAATGTGATATTCACCAAACATTTGTTGCAGGTGAATCTTCCTGGTGCATGTTTTTTTAAATTACAGTGACTGATTCACATGCAGTGAATATTTAGTAAATGTGCTATTCACGGTTTATAATTATGGAGACAGTGTCTTTATATTTTGTCTAAATAAACCGAGTGTATACAAAAATCCTCCAGCCCCAATAAGCCCCTTTTACATGGGCGCCCGTCTGCTCTGATCAGCAGCAGATTCGTGTACAGATTTTCTGCTGATCGGAGCAGTACAGAATGGTTGTCACTTCTGTGACATGTGTCCGTTCAGTTTTTCCTGGAGGTCTATGGGCGGTCTGATGTAGGTGGACATGTGCCCGTTTACATTCAATCTGTCACATTTAGGTCCAAAAAACAGAAAAGGAGACAAACCTTCTGTTTTTTCTATATGAAATTAAACAGACTTGGAGGTAATCGGATGTGAATGGACACATGTCCCATTACATCTAGCTGCCCATATGGTTACATTGTTTTCCTATCATATCCATGCCTGACAAGCAAACTGTAAATGAAAAGTTATTCCTGCAATTAGAACATTAATCTAATTGAGATATTATATTCTTGCTAGTCTTAATCCCTAAATGTTAACTTTGTGATAGCAAACCTGGTCTGATATTTAGCTGAAGTTAATCAGATTGCAGGATTCGGTTCAGCAGAAATTATGTTGGTGGCTTTGTAACAAGTTTTTTTTTTGGGGGGGGGCACAGTTCCTAATTAAGCAGATGAACCGCGGTACCAGTTCCAGGGCACTTTGTGGTTTGTTTTATCCCGTGCCACATTCTTCATCGTTCATTAGAAGCGCAGTGACACAAGCTTACTCCTGACCTCAGCCACAGATTCGTATTCCCAGCTACAGGATTTCTGACACTGGCTTCTCCCAAATCTCTGGTTACATGCAGGGGATTATTATAGGGTTTGATGAAGCTGCTAACATTGCCGCTCGCACCCACCTGCTCTTCATGAGCTTAGATAAGGGCAGCGCTGACACAGTTCAATCTGAATTTTTCTTTCCTGCCAACTCCACTGCAGTGCTATTTAATCTTTTTATGATCTACATGTTTGTCTTTTCCAATCAAAGTCTTTGTGAAATTCCATCTCTTTGTACTTAACCAGCAAAAAAATCGTAAAGATCGCACTGTTAATTTGACAATTGCTTTAAAATAGATACGCAAGTTCCTGTTTCTCTATAATTAAACAGACCCTTTCACAGAAGATTACAACTATTATTTACCATTATTCAGTCATTTTAAGCAAATGCTTGACAAGGTTGAGAGTCTTAAAGTTGTCCACAAAATAATAGCTATGCAAGAACACTTTGATTTAAAAAAAAAAAAAAAAGGAGTCAGCCAAGGAGTCAGGAGTCAGCCATGTTAATGCCCATGGAGGGAGAACAGGGAATAGCAGAAATAATTCTCTGCTGCTCACTATTTTTTGGGGGGGAACCCAGTTGAGATCAAACATCAGGAAAATTTAGCCCAACAGGATGTCTGAAAAAGCTAGGGAATATCCACAGTGCAAATACCTGTTTTTCCAGAAGCCTAGCACCTTCCTGTGCACAAGGAGAAATTACTAACCATCTGTAGTTGGCCAGTATAACAACCTACATGTTAATACATATGATGAAGCAGGCTTAATTCCATGCAAAATCATCTGAAGTATTGGCTTTAGAAATGGTGTT